GAGCCATCCTTGCATTGCTGGGATAAATGCCATTTGATCATGGTGTGTAATCCTTTTATTATACTGCTGAATTCAGTTTGCCAGTATTTTCTTGAGGATTCTCTCTCCTTTTTTAAACCAAAATCTCATAGACTTGAATTGTCCTCCCCTGTGCTAATTTGTACTCCTTTTTTCTCTTCTTCTCATTATTCAAAATTAACCAAATATTTGTTTTGTGTTTCCTTCACCTTTTTTCCTATGTCTTTGTGAGTAGATAGCTTCCAAGACATATGTAGATGACAGAATACTATGAAGGGCAAACGTTATTATCACCCCTTTCTAGCTTGAGCTTTTGCAATATTATCGTTCATGAAAAATTTTAATAATATTCATTCATAACACTTTTTTTCTTCCACAGAGAAGAAAAAGGGAAATTGGGAATATAATATTCCTTTGCATTTTCGACATTGGAGCACATAGAGAAATCAGTGGCTCAAACATCTCCACTAGAGTGTTTTATAAGCCCTAGGACCCTTTTCATTACCCAAAGCTTTGTCAAACATGTTGCTATTTTAAGGGTCTCCAGAAAAGGTTGTTTCTGAGGATGGCAAGACTTGAGAAAGAACAGTTCTATGACTTTGTTTTGTAACCATAATGTTTTCCAGTAATTGGGTCAGGGGAACATAAATTATTCACAGAAACCAGATAAAGTCAATATGGTAGACTGAGCTGACTCAGAACTTTTCCAGATGCATAGATATGCTCAGTGAAATATGAACAAAGAAAGGCTTTTAATATGTAATTGAGTTCAAAAGAAGCACACAGAAACCTAGGTGCCAAAAATGGAGAGACACAAAAGCCAGTAGGCTAAGAAGGAGATGAAGCTGAAGAAGGGACATCAGACCGCATAAGAGGCTCAGGGACTGACGGTTCAGAGATTAATGTAGGGAGAGAAGATAAAACCTCAGTCCCATGTGAGATAGAAGAGAACCCTATGCATAAAGCTGCAAATTTGGTAGGGCTGCTATTTTAATGGAACAGAAACTAGAAACATTTTACTCACTAGATTGACAAAGCAGCAACGCGGAGGAAAGAATTACCCACTAGAAACTGGAAGCCCATGCTTCTGTATGAGGTCCAATTTTAGACTATTCCCAATGCTAGAGGAACTAAGCTAAGATAATATAAAAATTGATGTAAACCATAGGATCCTGGCAGAGGCAAAAGAAAATCATTCTGAAGAATGATTTCATAACTAGAGCACACACAGTAAATGAACCACAGTGAAGGCGAGTCGTGGAATACTGCAGACATTTATTAGTCTGCCTCCCATCCCCCCAAGAACGGGAGATGCAAGGACTATCTGAAAGGATCTATAAAGTACTGAAGAAAGAAGATACAGAAATCAAAAACCAAGAGTAAGACAGTATGCAAAAATGTAAAAACAGGTGGGTCTGGAAGATAAACATGAAAAGGGTACTAATTGAAATTAAAGCATGCCAGTCAGCTGAATCATAGTTTAGATAAAGCCAGAGAAAGAAAGGAAATGGAAAATGTAGAGGAGAGGTAGAGATGTGGAAGATAGAATTATATATGTAAGAAGCCCCTGAATAAGAAAAAACAGAGAATTGGGGACAGGCAGTATTCAAAGTGTTTTCCATACACGAAGGTAAACTTTCGAGTTATAGTGGCTTTCCAGGCCTGAGTAACCAAGCGGGATATACAACCAAATCTACACCTAGTCATACTAAGTGTTGTAACAAAACTGCAGCACCAAAGACAGAGTAATTATAAAAGTATCTAGAAGGAAAAAGATTACCTGCGAAGAATTAGTCCTCTAAATGAGTAGATAATTAAAAAGAATATAAGAAGAAAAGGAGCAAAGAAAAATGTGATACAAGAGAAGGATAAAATAAATGACACTATATAGACGTATTTTAGAACATGATTAAGTATTAGTTGTGTTGCATATATATGTAAAACAAAAGTATGACATAGATGGAAGATTATTTCTAACCTTATTATACTAGAAGGAAAAAGAATGGGATCTGGGAGGAATATAAGGGACTTTATATTTGAGATTTTATTATTTTGTTAAAATTGAAGTCGGTGGGGCTGGTTGGTTCAGTCGGAGGAGCATGTGACACTTGATCTCAAGGTTGTGAGTTCAAGCCACACATTGGGTGTAGAGATTATAATAATAATAATAATAATAAATCCACTTAAAAACATTTTTTTGAAGTAGTTCTCACAACCAGGACAGGACTTGGTGTGAGAGTGCAAATGGAGACCAAGTACCATGCCTGGGTATGTGAAAGTTGTAAGTCAAGCTAACAAATAGCCATATACCTTGATTAATATACCTTCAAAAAGACTGTGGTGCTTTGTGATTCCCAGATTCTTTGGGGGTTGGAGCCAGAAAGTGGTGGCATGGAGAAGAGTTAGCAGACCCCAGCTCTGTCCTAAACTGTGAAGGAGTTTGCACACATGTGTTTGGACATCCCCATCCATACATATCCCTTGCAAAAAAACCACCCCTTGGCCACCCACAGGCCTAGGAGAGTGCACACTGGCTATAGGGTCTGCTCTTAGGAAGATAGTGAGGAGGTCAGGTTGGCCTTGGATGCCAGCTTGGAGAGGTGTCACTCAACAGGGACTTCTGGCGTCCCAAATACCTGGGCTGGGGGACAGGCATGGGCTCTGGGTGGACATGTCTCCTTGGCCCTATGGAGCCTTTGCCACCTGGAAGGAAGGGCTGCAGGACAGAGTGGGTCCCTCTGAAACAAGGGGTCAAGCGGCGGAGCTACCATTTGCTAAAGCTGAGCAGGTTGGTGGACATTCGCTGTGTTAGTTTCTATGCGTTTGGAGTGTTTCGTTATAAAAAAGAGAGAAGCATACACCATTTCACGAGGGAATTAGGGATGCCTGTGCGGCGCAAAGGCAAGGGCAGGAACAGTGCCAGTAACGCATCCTGTGACCTTTGTGTTTGGTACAGCCGAGTCTCCTCACCTGCCCTGTGAGAGACCAAGATGTGGGATTTCCCACTTGTGTGGTCCCGTGAAGTTCTCATTCGCCCCACGGCTGGCAGAGCTTCTGGACCTGAGTGTGGAGGCACAGGGATGGCCAGGGCAGAGGTCGGGTGTGCTGGCGGAGCCTAGGCTGAGTCCGTCCACTAGGTTCCTGGGGAGGGAGTGCCTTTTCCTTACCACAACCTGGCTGGAAGGCCTGCCCTAGGGAGCTGCAGCCCAGCCCTCAGGTGCCCCATCTTCACACATGCCCTGGGCAGAGCCTGGCAGTGCCTTCCATGGAGGCATCCTGGCCAGTGCTGGCTCACACAGGGAGGACAGCCCTTCATTACCCTCCGTCTGTCCTGAAAGCAACCAGCACAGGGAACCGCAGACTGTCAGCAGGCAGAGAGCTCCCAGCCGGACAGCATCCTGCGCACTCACAGGCTCCTCCTCGGTCGTCTGCTCCTGTCGGCTGCTGGCCGGGGCAGTCACTCAGCAGGGCCCAGTGAGATTAATTTGGCCCAGGGAAGAAAAAGACTTGAGAGAGAAGGGAAAGCCAGTGTGAAGGGATAGAAAAAGTGTTTTTCCTCATCAGCCATCAGACATTTTGCCAAGCTTAGCTAGCTGAGGCTCACCTTTAATTGGTGGTGAATTAAACATTGTCCTTTCAACTGACATAATCAGAAAATATTCTCTTCTGGAAACTCAAGGGCAAAATGAACTTCATCTCAGAGAACTATTGAGAATACCTTGGGCCCCGTTCTTTTGAGGCCCTTGAGGTCGCTGTGAAGTGGACGGTGGTCAGGAGACCATCCTCCTCAGGCTCAAGGCCCACAGACATGGCAGGGGATGTGCTCGGGACGGCCGGCAGCCACAGCTTCTGTGCCTCACGTTCCCACAAACAGCAGATCTGGGGTGGATTTGTCTGCTACGCTGCCATCGCAAAGTACCACAGACTGAGTGACTTAGCAGGGTTTATTTTCTCACACTTCTGGAGGCTGGCAGTCCAAGATCAAGGTGCTGGCAGTGTTGGTTCCTTCTGAGCCTGGTAGATGGCTGTCTTCTTTGTCTTCATATGGACTTCCTTCTGTGGGTGTCTGTGTCCTAATCTCCTCTCCTCAAGAGGACACCAGTCATCTTGGATTAAGAGCCACCCTAATGACCTCTTTAAAGATCCCGTCTCCAAATACAGTCCCATTTCGAGGTAACTGGGGAGTTAGGACTTCACCATATGCATTTGTGGGGAACACAGTTCAGCCCATATCAGAGGGCATTGGCAAACTCCCACACACCAGGAATCTCCTGGGGCAAGCAAAGTGACATTGTAATGATAAGAAATCAAAACCCTCTTGCCTACCTGGGGAATTTTAAAGCATCCCCCTTTTGCTTTATAGGAATAAACATCAGCTGTGCTCCATATTTCCTTACAGAGGTGCCAAACTTGGAGGCAATCATTTCAGGGAAGGCAAGAAGAGCTCCTAATCCTTGTGTTTTCCAAGAAAACTCACCTTGGTTTTCACTGTTTCAAAATAACAATCAGGTTGTGCAAAAAAGAAATCAGTCTCTTGCTGGGGACCCAAGGCCCCTGGGGAGGCTCTCGCCCTTGGTAGAGTTTATTGGCTCGGGGAGAGGCGGCTGCAGGTGGAACGGAGGCTTTAAGACATTTCCCTAGAAACAAACCACTGCTTGCAGAAGCGATCTGGAAAGCCAAGGGTGAGCCTGGTATGAAAGGGCACTTGTAGTGTGCTTCAGTTAAGAGGAAGGCAGCGTTGAGAGGCGTTACGGACAGGACAGACTGGAAACAGAGCACCTTTTAGAAGAGGGAGCAGTGCACTCAAGGTGTCGAGATAGCATCTACTGTAAATAATAGAGCTGCTTGCCAACCTGGACGTTTTTCCTGACATGAGGAAGCCTTTTACCCCTGTTTTATTTTTGCAACCTCAAGTCACTGGGTGAGGCCCTTTGAGAGGTGTTCCTATGAACCAGGACTGACTGCATTTGATCTACCTGCAGGATGAATGAACGTGACCGCCTACTGAAGAGGCTCAGCAGGAAGACACCCCCCACTCTCTTCCGGGGAGGCTCCATCCAGCAGTGTGTCCCCCGTAAGTAGCCCCGGCCACGCAGGGAAGGCAGTGGCTTCGTTAAAGCGTGCTGGTGCTGATATGTCTGGAGACCACTGCCAAGCCGGAGCCCCACATTTGGAAGTGGAATTTGTGTATTTGGCCCGAGGCGAGTGTAGCTTGAGTGCAGGTAATTCCCCGGGACCCAATCAAATGCCTGAATGACAAAATCCTAAAACTTAAAATCCTGATGTGGTCGAGATCCTTCTGTCAGCCTCCCAGTAGGATTTTGTTCTAAGGCTGAAATGATCTTACTTTTGGATTATTGCCCACAAAGATAGTTCGTTAATATTAGCTTATTAATTAAAACAATGACAATCACTGGGGGAAAAGTCTCTGTACTTTTCCCAGGAAGGCTGCCCTGCATCTAGCATTGGTGCCCCACTCAACACCAGAGGCCAGGCCTGGTTTCTGTTGAAAGGAGCAAACCCAAGCCAGGGTCAGTGGGGATGTGCCAGATCCCAGGGGAGGGGGCAGGAGGCCGTGAAAGAAAGATGGGTAGCAGAGCTCACGGGGGTTGTGGGGCTATTTCAGCAATTAAGCCACTTGACTCCCCGCTGAGGGGCACTGTTAGCACTGGTTTCCTTCGGGAGGGGGTTATCTCTGCCTTCCCCAAGGTGAGGCCTGTTGGCATGTCGTCGTCTGTCACCTGCTTCTGCCCCTCCAAATCCCACCTCTTTTTCCAGAACCCCCTCTCTCGCACGTGCACTTCGCATCTCTTCAACAACACTGCTTCCTGCTTCCCTTTCTCTCCCTGAGGTGTTCAGAAGGGAACAAGAGTGGTTTAGAAGTGACGAATCCTTGTATCCATAACACGGGTATTGAGGGGTCTGTGTCAGGCTCGGTTGAGCTCCACCCATCAACAGATCTTCACAGATTTTCTAACAGAGAGAAGGAAAGGATGGACTCCCTCTCCTCACTTTCCCACATGGGCTACCCACATGGCAGAGACCAAGTCCATGTGGCACCTCACATGCTTCGGGTCCTGTCCCAGGGAGTAGGTGGTGTCAGCCCCAAGAGCACGTGGCAGAGGCTCAGGCCAGTATAGTATAGTAACTGGCCCAGCAAGGCCCCAACGATCTGGGTCAGCCGTGGTCTCTCTGAGCCAGGAGAGAGGTCCCGTCAGGAGGCTTGGTGGTACAGTCCAGGGAGTGAGGTCTGTGGGGCCCCGCTTCTGGAGCTGGGCTGCCTGGGGGTCCTGTTCCAGCTCTGTCCCTTTTTTGTGCACTTAGGTAAGTTAACCTCTCCATTTCTATATCTGTAAAATGGAGATGATGTAAGAACTGGGTTTGGGGGGGAGAATTAAATTTGATCATTTATACGAAGAGCCTGGAATAGCACCTGACGATATGCAGTCCAAAAAATGTGAGGTATTACCAGGTTTTTTCTGCCACTAGTTGAGTAACTTTGGGCGATGTACCTATTTCTCTAAACTTCTGTTTCCTCCACTGAGGGGAAAAAAGAAATCTAATAATATACATCTAAAAGGAAAAAAAAAAATAATACACATCTTACACAGTCTTTGTGAGGCTTTAGGACGATGTATATAAAGCACCTTCTTTCTAGCAGACACAGAGAAAATGAGTACTGATTCTGTAAACAGTGGGGTTCATGCCATGGAGCCCTGCTGCTTCTCTAATAAATATTTCACAATAACCCTAGGAAGAATATATAAGATACATACATTGAGATCAAAGACCGAGTAAAAACTTTTACAGGAGAGTCATAAAATGTCTTAAAACTACTAAAAAAAATTTTCTGAACTTGGGATTTTGAAGGACAAAAGAAAATTAGAATGAACAAGTACAAGAAATAAAAAAGCCTCTAAAATCACACCACATTTTAAAAACACCCAGCAGCTAATAGTAAGAAACCGATCGATAACCACACGTTCTGTCAGTAGCTAGAGAAGGCCGCGGAGAGACCAGAAGTGGCCGCGGCCTGTGAGAAGTTCTGCACTCTTCTCTCAACCTCCGGCCTACCTGCCCCCCTGGGCCTGTCCTTCCACTGCCCTGGGCCCGTCTTCCCAGAAAACTGGAAGGACAACTCTCACCTTGGCAGCACGTTCAGTCCCTTGCAGGACACCAGGGCACCAGCACACAGTATATACGTGAGTATATAGTATCTCAGTATATAACTGAGATCAGCACTCCCTACAGGCTTAATTCCTTGTTATCCTCATGGTTGTCCCCACTTCTGTTGCTTTTAGGAATCTTTTTCCAGACAGGAAACTTCTACTCTCATGAAGATGTTATCAGAGCTATTTAAGGGGAGTTTTATTCCAAAATAATGAAAAAAAAAAAATGACATGATTTTATGGACTTCACCAAACGTTCTATCAGGAGAATACAAAACAACTTAGACACTCCCCTCCCCTGGCATCTCTTTTCACCTACCCTACTCTGCCCCCAGATTCTGGCTGCAGCGGAGCGTTTAGGAAGCAGATGCTTCCCTGGAAGCCAGCCCGGGGAAGTTCAGGAGTTGGGTCCATGGACGGCTTTCCCCAGGCCCCCATCATTCCTTTGTGGCTGTCAGGACTTCCTGAAAAGATGAATGAAAGTGGGAAAGGCTAAGAGCTGGAGGCTTCCTCTGAGCTCCCCATTTGGATGCAAATGGCGGTAAATGTTCATCAGGCAGAAGCTGGTGCCCTGATGGTGCATCTTTGTCAGGCTGAGGGATGTAGGCTGGACAGGCAGAGGCTAGTTGGGTGGTTATAGCCTCTTTTGCCCCACTAAAACTTTTCCCATTACAGCCCTGTCTCCCACCAGGCCTGGTTTCTGAGAGGAAAATATTATATCTGAACCAGGGAGACACCCCTGCCCCAGGATAACCCTACCAAGCCATCCTCCTTTCCTTCTTGAGTTGCAGAGTTCAAGGCTCTGCGGAGGCTAAGAAAGTCTAGTGAGGAAAATCTTAGTGCGTAACATTCTGGAAACATGATGGGAACTGCTGGACAAGCCCTTTGGTCATGACCTCTGGGTCTCAACTTACCCTGAGAAGAGATTTGCTTGGGAAGGTCCTCTCAAGTGGACACCTGGAAGCCCTTCGCAGTCTGGAGTGGCTGAGTAATCCCAGTGGAAGGCCCTCGTGCCAGTGAGTCAAATACAAGCCACAGATGCCTCACAGCTCTCAGCTATGGTTCTGTCCCAGTAGGCATAGGCAGGGTGTGCATGAAAAACAGAATAAGGAAGACAAGGCTTTTGTTCCTTCCACTTGACCAAGGAGTGGACAATTCCAGATGCTAAGCTACCTTTCCCAAGGACACTCCCAAACAATGTTTGCTTTTTTTGTCTCAATGAGTCCCCTTCATTTCTTCCTCTCCCCCAGGAGCCCCCTCCAAAAAGCTCACCAAAAAAGACAAGTTGCTGCTGTTCTTTTTGGATGGGTTGTTGCGACAGGTTCCTTTCTTCTCTGGTATGGAGGTAGAGGCTTCCTCCGTTGGTGCTGAGTGTGAATTGCCCTGAATGAAGGAGAGGGTTCTGTGGCCTGGGTATAGTTAGCCACGGAAAAGCCTGGAGCCCATTGGGAGGGTGGGAGCTCTGCTGGAACTTGGACCTCACCTGGTCCAGGCCCTTTATTTCACAGAACAGTAAACAAAGAAGACCCAGAGAACTTAAAGAACCCATGGTCCTGTGGCCAAGTTACTGCCAGGCAAGGATTAGAAGCATCCTTCTTGCCTCAGGCCCTGGGTCCCCAGTCCAAGATGAAAGCAGAGCAGGCGAAGAAAGCCGCCTTCAGGGTGGAGAGCTCCCTAGTCATCAGCCTGCCGCCAGAACGGCTCAAGGAGAGCACTTAGAAGGGCCCCCCACTGCTTGGGATCAGAGCCACACTCTGCCAGGTTGAGAAGCGTCCACCTGGGGTGGCACGGCAGGCCACAGACGACCACTGTGTGGCTCCCACAGGAAAACATCAGATGTTTACTAGAAATGTTACCTTTAAAGACCGGAGAATAGAGATTATCCACGTCGACCACAGAACACAGCCTTGTGACTGGAGGAGACAGTGTCGTTTGCTAGATTCTGCTTTGAAACATCCCAGGGAAAGGCGTCTGGTCTCGGATGGCAGTCAGAAAGCTGCACAAAGAGCACCTTGTCCTAGAGGGGCCACCACAGCACAGGCGAGGGAGGGAGCCGCCCCTCCGAAGCTGGACAGAGGACGGCTCCTCGTCCCCGGGGCCTCACTGATCAAGCAGCTCATGCGGGGAAAGTCTAAAAGCTCTCAGAGGAATGGAGGAGAGAGGAGGCATTTCCTCCTCAGATCCCGTGAGGCCTCTGAAGGCTCCTTGTGTGGAAAGCCGTGACGAGGAAGTTCAAGTGCCCTGCACCCAGCACCCCCAGGGCCTCCCTCCCTGGGCCTGTTCCTGCAGGGCAGCCCAGGGACACTGCCCGCTCCCGGACGCAGCCAGGTGGGGCCCGCGCCGGCCGGAGGGCTGCTGTGCCCCGGCTGCTTTTTGGTCGCTGGATTTGGTTTTGTTAGAGATGGAGGTGAGCCAGTAGATGGACATCTCCCTGGGGAAGACTCCTTTCTGTCCTAGTCCTTCACTAGTCCTTCCTTAGCTCCCGCCCGCCCCGCTACCTAGCCCGGGGCCTTCGTTGCCTCCCAGGCCACCCGTGCAGACAAGGCCTCGCCTCCCAGGTTGGCCCTCCTGAGCCCTGGAGTTTCCTCAGGCGGGGGCCAGGAGAGCTGGGACGCCAGCCCAGGGGCAGAGACTCTGGCTTATGAGCACAGGCAGAGTATGAAGTCACCCTGAGCATCCTCTAGCGGAGCGCCTTCCTCACCATCCCCACCAGATACGTTGCTGTTCTATGTCTTTATAGTTCAGAAACTTTCCTTTGTAAGCCAGGGGTCTGAGTAAAATAATTAGCAATCCAGGAGGTGGTACATGGGCACAATTTCTGATTTCATTTTCCCCTTTAAAGAACGTGACAGTGAACAAACATGTCCGTTGACAAGTCATATATACACATGGATGGGAGTCACCCTTGTCAGACATTTTACTGTTGTTGTCTTTGGGTCAGAATGTCTAATCCAGCTGTGAGACTTTTCCATACCCCTGACCCAGAAAGGTAAGCCAACAGAGAGAGAGAGAGTCTTATAAATGCTCCTTTGGCGGGAAGGACCAGTTAGGAAGGAGGGCCCTACTGTGGGCTTTTAAATGCTGAATCTCTCTCTAGAACTGGAGATGCAGGGAGAGTGTGGGTCCTGCAGAACCACTGCCTGGGTTGGGCTCCCAGCTATACTACTCACTAGGTCTGTGACCTTGGGCAAGTCATGGGGGGAAAAAAAAAAAAAAAAATCACCCTGTGCCTCAGTTTCCCCATCTGAGAAATGGGGAGAATACTATCACCTGCCTCATGGGGCTGCTGGGGTAATGAATGAGCTGTTTGTGTGTAGTACATAGAACAGGCCCTATACACATAGCATCTGATCGGTGTTGCGCCTGCTGCTAGCATTATCCTTGTTGTTGGAACTGTTGATAAGACCCGGTCTTCCTGTGGCCTCTTGACTTTATCTTGTGATCTTTTCCTTTATTTCCACAAAAATGAACCCACTGTAATTTCTGATTACCAGTCCACATCAGTCCCACGTAAGCGCAGGAATGCCACAAGCATCCGTGAGCACATGGCCAGTTTTGCCTACTAGCATTGTGTGTGTGTTCCCCGGCCTGTTTACAGCTATAAATTACCCAGCCAGCCTGCTGTGTTGGGCAGCCTGGGACACTTCTGGAGCCGAGCAAGTTGCCTTTCCTCTTGATTGGCGCTGGGAAAGTGCAGACATGGACCAGTGACCCACTGTTTATGCTTCGCAGGCTGAGCTCAGCTGCAGGGAGGCCACCCTCCCCCCACTCCCCAGCCCCTCACATCCCAGCCTCGGCATCAGCAGCCAGGACCAGTCAGGCCCTGTCTGGTCAGGCCCTGTCCCACCCACCCCAGCCTCTGCCGACGTTTCCCTTCCGAGCCACAGGTCTGTCCATCCGGGTGCCCCACCTGCCTGAGGCTGGCGAGCCCAGTGTGGCAAAGGTCAGCTGCTGTCTTCCACGAAGACCTTTTCTTCTAAACCCGGCATGCTCCCCTGATTCTCCTCCTCACCAATCCCTGTGTGTGCTCCTCTTGCAGATGGGTATGCCTTCTCTCAAGAAGAGCATGGAGCTGTTACTCAGGAAGAAATTGTCCGTGCTTATGACACCACCAAAAAGAAATCGAGGAAGAAATAAGACATGAGTCGTCTTGATTGGTCCCAGGAAGGAGATGCAGTTTGTTGCACCCAGTGTTAACACATCTCTGTCGGAAGAGACTGGTGTCAGCAGCCAAAACACCACAAAACCCATTTCTGTGGCCTTAGCCAACCAGTTTGTTAGTCCACATTCCCTCGCAAAGCTGGAGTAGATAGCGCAGGGGAAGCCATTTTGTTCCCTTTCAGTTCATCCGCAGTGCTTGGCCTAACTTCTGTTTACCTTGTTCTGAAGCATTCAACTGTGCTCTGTGAGGTGTGAAATTAAAAACGTTATGTTTCACCAATATTTAAACATCAGGACTAGTTGTTCTGGGAGAAAGCTAAGAGAGTTTTATGTTGCGTGAGAAACCCATCTTGTGGAATTGGAGCGGGGGCACGCTTCCTTCCTCTTTTGTTCACTCACAGATGAAGTCCACCAGGCAGCATGTAAACTTCATTGTAGGTAGGTTGATGTCTTGTTTTGATTCCTATCTTGTTTGTATGAAGTGGGCATAAACTTCTTGATTGCAGTGAAATCACAAAAATGTCTATCATCAGGGTGGTGACCCTGAGAACGCTTCTCTGAACCTCTTAGCCACACTCCCAGCAGGGCAGGCAGGTCGGTCTTCTAGCATTCTCCTGCACTCTTCCCAGGTGCCTTCTGGGCTGTCCGGGCTTCTCTCATCTCAGACCTTCTGCATGGCTGACCGCTGTGCTCAGCGCATGGCAGCTGGTGGGCAACCAACCCAAACGTGCACTATTTCTTGTCCTAGCACAGATTCAGATATGGATTCAAGAAATCCCCTCTGCCACCACCCTTCACCTCCTATAACTAAATAAAAAGAAGCATAGCTATTTTCTAAATGTTTCTCTGCCTCATTCCAACGACAGGGAAGCCTGCAGGTCCGTGTGTGGTAGAATGCTTTGGCATTCCTGCTCTGGTCAGGTTCTCAATACTCATTCCCCAATGAGTATTGGACCTTGGGCATTCACTTCAGTGAGATCCTCACGTATTTTCTCGGGAGTTCGGAGCCCATTTTGGAGTTTCACTGCTGGGAAACAAGTGAATGTATAGCATGTCGCCCCACGGAGGGACACGCCTGTCACTTTGTAACTCTAAAATCAGGCAGGATGAGTGAACCCGGTGGGAGAGTAGGGGGCCCCTGAGGCTAGTGGAGGAAGATCACCATCAAAGGGGACAGCGAGAGGCAAGGAGCACAGAGACCCTGGGAGGAGGCCAGAGAGGACACGTTAGCCAAATCCACTCAGTAGACACCGAAATCAGGCCTGGAAGCCCAGACAGTTGTGGTAATGCATGCGGGAGGCTAAACGAGATATTGACATGCAGTTTTTATCAGGAAGAATTCCAAACATTTACGGAAATGCCCTTTTCTGTATGGGTGAGGTTTCCATCCTAATCCAGTCAGTGGTAGACACAGGAACCTCTGAAAAGAAAGTGTCCTGACTCTAAGGAGAAGTGCTTCGTCACTGACTTTCCAAACTGCGGAGTCCCACCTTCTAAATTTGGACGGAACTTGCATGCCCTCGGGCATGAATATGAGCACCTGGAGCCCTTAATAAATGGCCAGCCTGGAGGCACGTTCTCTCTTCTCCTCTCGGCTTTTGTTGCCAAACCAGATTTTTGGGTGGCTTAACATAAATACTTCTGGGCAGCTGTTACTGCTTAAAATGGCACCGTTCTTCTGAGGGTTGGCTGCGCTAAATTGGGAACTAAAACAATAGTGCACTTTGCTTCCTTATCCTTTATTTTTGGAGCATCCACATTTAATTGGGCATTGTAATAACTTAAAGTATGATTTGCATTGACAAAGAAAACTAATCCTTTGCTTATGACGTGACCAGGATCCAGGGAGGACTTAAGGGGAAGCAGAACAATGCAGTGAACAGGTGAGGCTTAGAAAATTACCGTTCCTTCCTCCCCGAGGTGGAAAACCATTGTTAAATATTAGAGCACCCAGTGAGATGAATCCCTAAAGGACTGTCTGAATGCAGGAATTACAACACCCCTCCCCCCCACAAATGTGCCTGGAATTAACATAACAGACTGAGGTATAGGTCTTTATTGGACACCCAGAGAGATGATGTCCTAAGTATAGAGGAGAAATGAAAATTTGAATCTCGAACGTGCGTTTGGCATCCTGACTCCTTGGTTCCATTTGGAACTAAGCCTCTGGAAAGGGGAACTCAAGCTTATTCTTTGTCAGACACTTAGCTCTTTCTTAAACTTGAAGTCTTCTGAATTAGATTTGTGAATTACAGTGTGTGTATGTTTTGTTTTGGGCTTTTCATTTTTTATTTTATGTTTTAGGTTAAAGTGCAGTTCACATTTTCTGAGATTTAAGTATATTTTCTGATTCTTTTGACAACTGAACAGTGTTTGCAATAATGAAATGTGCACGCAGAAGAAAACATTAGATGGGAAACGTTTCTAGTCTATTAATTGTCGTATGTGATCAAGCTATCTGGTGGCCAAATGACTAAATTGGGCTTCGAGGAGGAGAAGCTGTCACCATGAGTGATGTATGATATTTAGCCATGGCCAGCTCAGGGGCTGTGTCATTTGTCCTATCTTCAAATTGAGGTCAGAGTGTCACACAGGCCCCTCCCCAGGGAGCAGGGTGGGCTGGAGTAAGTTGTGTACTCTGGCTGTCAGCTCAGTGGAAATGCCACATTGGACTTGTCACTCGGCCACATGGTAAGTGACATACAGTCTGACAGGTCATACTTAGTCAGCGCTATAGGGCCGGCCTCTGGATTGGGCTAAAGTAACAGAATCCACTGAGGGCCAGCCTTGGTCTGCTGTCGTACACAGACTGCCGACTCTTACTTACGAGTGTGTGTTCTGTTCTGGCTGAGTCTGCAGAAGGCAGAGAGCAGCCGTTCCATGCATTAGCTCTGAGTTCCACTACACACCAGCACGGACCAGCAACGGGGGCTGGGGAAAGTGCCCATTAAAAAGGCGGGATAGGAGAACAGAATAAACCAACCATTTCTGCCTGGTTGTCCAGATTAGCACTTCATTGCTGATCAGAATGGGCTTGGTAATAATTTCGGGGTGTGGCTGATGTGTCCATCCTGCCTCTCTGTGGAATATTCAGGACTTCTTGACCAGTGTTATGTTCTCCCATCTCCCAGCACACATGTGATCATTTGGTGGGGGGGGATCAGTAGAGCATACAAAACCTTCCTTTGGAGAAAGGAGATGTTGCTTTAACATCCGTGGAGTAATATCCTAAAACGTGAACCTGAGTTTTAGCAAAGCATGGCTGGGAACTCTGTTGACATTTTCTTTTCCTTGACAAGGCTTCAGGTCTTGCTGTAGGGAGCTGGCAGTGAAAATCAGTGATAACTTGTCAAGAAGCAGTGAATAATGAAAAAAAAAAAAAGTGAGTATGAGTAACTAATGTCTGAAAATGCATATAGATGTATATATTACAGGCTTTACAACTGAATTTTTTTAAAGAAAGCTATAGTCTGTAATCCATTTGCTATAACAATGACCCTTTATCTCATTTTTTGAAGTGAATTTTTAATCCTATTTCTGTTCCTAGGGGTTTATGTCTTAGACCGTAAGTTGAATAGAATGTTTGCAAAACTCTGCAAGAGGACAAGGTGGTCTTTCGTCTTGAACATGGGAAGGAAGTGCACCCATTTCAGCTGGCGTTTGGCTTACTACCGAGGGTCATTGTCCCAAGGTAATTCAAGGAGCAATTCAGTCTCAGCATTTGAAATGTAGACTTCATCTCCAGGGATCCATAAAAAATGGGAACAGGGAAACTGGTTAAGCAGAGCCCGAAATAATAACCTGGCAAAGAAATGAGTTTATCAGGTCAAGGTAAAAGATGGCATCCCCCATCATATTCGTTAAATACTTTCATCATGCCAATGCTTGTATTAGCAAATTTAGTAATGATGGAGATAGTGAAAAGACAGCCATCCCCCTTCAAAGGGAAAGCATACATCAGCTGGCTTAGTTGCTGGTTCTCCACTGGCTCAAGACAGTTGTTGGTCTCAGTATAGCCTTGGGGGAGATTGTTTAGCCTCATCCTGGACACTTTCCCATCCTCAGAGGCGATGAGGTTGGTGAGAAGGGGTTTCCAGTGGGTCGTAGAGGTGAGAGTCCAAGGTCCCCCAGAATATATTAATAAGTATCCCTGAAAGGAATAGACCTGAAATACTCTACTTTGATGTGTTGTACTCCTCATTTATTTTTTTTTTCTCAGCATCCCATATTGTCCCACAGCACACATTTCCTTTGACATTACAAGAGCTTCATTGAATGCCAAGGTTCCACTAGCACTGTGTGGAAAGTTCTCTCTTAGCTTGTTGGGTCTGAGTGTGACCAATCAGCATGCAGTCTCTAACGGGAAGAAAAGGCTACTGAGCCAACATAGTGTTCAGAAGCTGTGAAGCAAAAGGGGGCAGAAAAGAGGGGCGAGCTCACCCTGTTACCCCACCCCAAGCATAATCCATAGCTGTTAACTCTGACCAACACCTCTGCTCCCCTCACTGAGGGGAGACAAAAGAGTGATTCTTTTACACTGGGCTGGCTCATTGTCAATGACAATCTCTTGCCCTGGTTGCCTTAGAGACATCCACTCTGCTCTTTCTCTCAGGCTCCAGACCAAGAAAAATATGCTCCCAAGATTAGCCCATCGGCATTTCTTCTGACCTGGCTAAAGAAAGAAAGGAGACCTGTTCCTTTTAAAAGTCAGGAACAAAGTGTCAGGTGGCTTTGATTTATGACAGAAATAGGAAGAAGAAAGTTGAGGTAATAGCGCTATCCAAATAACCTTGCCCAGGAAACTGAGGGGTCAAGAGAGCTTATCAAGAGCCTTTTATAGGCAAGCTCTTCCGTATGGCAGAGAAGGGGCCAGAAGGAGGGGGACAGCCTGAAGGTGAGAATGTGAACCCACTTCCGATGGCGTTGGATTCAGTCACCCCCGAAGACCGCCACACAACTACAGGTGGATCAGTAAACACCAATTAAAAGGTGGAAAAAGAAAATCTGCCCTGTTCTAGGACTTCTGTCCTTCCCACAGGATCCCTGCACAAGTGGATACTTGGCAGGCTTTTCATTAATAAAGTCAGTGTGTGTGCTGACATGTGCATTCCTCCGCCTTCCTTCTCCCACGCTGCCTGTGATTGCTGAGTTCAGAAGCGTGCCCACTGCTTCCCTAGGAAGCCTCCCTCTGAAGGGCCCTGCTACCAGCTGCAGCGCCGCCGCTGCAGGGGTGGGGCCCCGGGGGCTCCGCCAGGAGCAGCTAGGTCTGCAGCCTGCATGCGTCC